ATGGGCGATTTCAACTTCCGGGCCCTTCCTGCCGATCCTGAGGAGGCGCAGGCTGCTGGTCGCAGGGAGGAGCACGGGCCTCGCCCACCTCGGCACTGGCGCGCGGGGCTGCGCGGCTACACGGAGCTGCAGCCTGCGGAGCCGACCCACTGGGCTCAGAATCGCGGGACCTACAGCTCCATCGATAGGATCTACGTGGGCGCCCCGCAGTGGCTGCAATGCCAGACGTGGATGCAGCTCTCCAACGGCGGCGACCCGAGGGAGCTACACTGCAGTGGGCTCAGCGACCACACGCTGCTGACCCTCGCGTGGTCGCGCCACCCGCCGGCGCGCCGGGACCCCGATCGGCCGGCGCCGATCCCCGACTACATCTGCAAGCTCCCGCGGTACCGGGAGCTGGTGGGCCTCTACGTCGCGGCCCTCCCGCTCGAGCGACTTCCTGCTCCGGAGCGGCTTCTGGTCTCCACGAGGCTCCTGCAGGCGGCGGCGAAGGAGGTGCAGAATGAGGAGTTGAGGACGATGTCGTGGACCCGGCGCTCGACGGCGACGATCTGGCGGCAGATGGCGCGGGCTTGCTGGCGGGAGGATTGGAGGCTTGCTGACCTCCTCTGCCGCCGCCACCCGTGGGCGCAGGAGTTCCTGGACGTCGACACCACGCGACGCACGGTCGTCATGAAGCGGCCCGACGAGTTCCACCGAAGGCACGCCCTCGCCCAACGCCGCTTCATGGCGCAGCGGGGCCGCGAGGCCGAGGCGGACGCGGCGGCGGCCCAGGGGTGCCCCCCTCCTGGCCCTGAGAGCGAGGACCAAGCCAGGCGAGCGAAGAGTGAGCTCATGCGCCTGCGCGGGCAGCAGCGGGCCCTGCGGCGTCGGGCGGCGCTCTGGTCGCCCTTCTCGGCGCGGCGCTGCCTGGGCGCGGTCAAGGCGCAGCGTGGCGCGGTGACCGCCCCGCTGGACAAGGCGGCCGCCCTCGCCTCCCATTGGGGCGCGGTCTTCGATCCCGAGCCGCAGACGCCTGGGCGCAAGCAGTGGCGCGAGCGGACCGGTCGGCAATACATTCAGTGTCACGGCCTCCAGCGCTATGACTGGGAGGCCCTGGGGCCGCCCACCAAGCAGGACATCGCCAGGGGCATCGCCTCGGCCCGCGCCTCGGCCCCCGGGGTCGACGGGCTCCCTGCCAGAGCATGGGGTGCCCACCCCGCGCTGGCGGACGCCCTCACGGCGGCCATGCACTGGCAGATGGACGGGCTGCCGCTGGGGATCGCCTTCAACGACTCCATCTTGATCTGTCCGCCGAAGGGCGACGAGCCGGACGACGTCATCGGACAGCCTGTTTCTCGTGGGGCTGAGGACACGCGGCCGCTCTCGCTCCGGAACTCGGGGGCCAAGATCATCTCCTGGGCCCTGAACGCCAAGCTGAAGCGCGCAGTGGCGGCGTCTGTGTGCTGGACACAACGAGGCTTCCTGACGGGCCGCAACTTCTGCGAAAACTTGGTCGAGGGCGACGCCTTCGCGAGGATGGCGGGGATGATGGCCGCTGCCGCTGGGCCGCGCGCCCGGTCCGGACCGCCGCCGGCGCCCTGGCGGCCGCCGCCGCCACCCGCGCCGAGCGGGAGCGCCCCGCGCCGCCGTGCGCCCGGGAATTCTGAGCGCGCAGGCAGGAGCGCTCAGAATTCGCCGCGGGGGCCCGGGCGCCCCCCGGCGGTTCCCGGCGCGGCCTCGGCCCAGGCGTACCTTAACGATTCCTTAAGGTACGCCTCAGCAGCGCCCGGCGCCGGCGCCCGATCAAGGCCAAAATCTCCGCCGGCCGCGGGCAGCGGCGCGGGCGGCGCCGGCGCCCGATCCAGGCCAGAATCTCCAGCGGCCGCGGGCTGCGGCGCGGGCGGCGCGGGCGCCCGATCCAGGCCAAAATCTCCACCGGCCGCGGGCTGTGGCGTCAGCGCGCCGGCGGCCCGGGCGCCTGCTGGCAAGGGCGGCGCGCCCGCCGGCGGCGGCTCCGGCCTGCGCCCTGGAGTCGGGGACGTGCTCCTCAACCCGTCCTCGACCGAGTGGCTGAAGCTGGACCCTGCGGAACTGCGAGGGCTGGGTCCGCCTCGGCCGTTTCTGTGCAGCTACGATTACTCGCGCGCCTTCCCCTCGGTCTTCCAGGATTGGCTGTGGTGGGTGCTGGAGGAGTGGGAGATCCCGCAGCCCCTGCTGAATGGGCTCCAGATGCAATACAGCGAGGTCCGTGCCCTGGACTCCGGGCCGACGCGCGAGGAGCTCTTCCGTGTGCGCAGCGGGGTGCTGCAAGGTGACCCTGCTTCGGGATCCCTGTACGCGGCTGGAGAGCACCCGTTCTGCCAGGACATGGCCAAGCACCTGGAGGGGCGGCGCCGTGGCGTCGGCCGCTGGTGCGTGGACGACCTCCTCACGGTCACGCTCCAGCTGGTCGGACTTCGCGTGGTCGGGAGGATCATGAAGGCCTCGGCGCTGCTCGCCAACCTGGTCCTGAAGGAGGAGAAGTGCGTCTGCGTGCCCCTCTGGGCACCCCTCTCGGCGGAGGTGGAGGAGGAAGCGCGCCAGATCCTCGGCTCCGTCTCCGAGCGGTGGCGGCTCTTCCGCATCGCCCCGATGGCGAAGGCGCTCGGGGTCCTCCTGGGCCCAGCAGCGTCGACGGACCTCCAGTGGGCGCCAACGCTGGAGAAGTGGGAATGGCGCGCCGGGCAGATTGCCGCTGCCCCCTACGATGCACAGACGGCGGTGCAGGTCTACCACGAGAGGGCCCTGGCGGTCGCCTCGTACAAGGCGCAGCTCATCCCGCTGCCGAAGCGCCTGCCCAAGGCAGAGCACCACGTGCTTTGTCGGCTGCTGCGGGCGCCGGGCAGCTGGCTCGGACTCTTGGATTTCTCGGCCCTGGACCTGCTCGCTTTGACCCCGATACACCTCCTTGGGGACCTCTGCGCAGCGGCCCGCGTGCGCACCGCCACGCAGACCTTGGTGACATGGCGCGCGATGGCGCGGGCCCTCCGCGAGACGGCAGCGCGGTGCCTTTCGCTCGAGGCCCTCGGCCGAGGGCTCGCGTGGCCGGGCTTCTGGGAAGCGAGGCCCCTTGCCATGCTCCTGGAGGAGGCGGCGACGCTGCTGGGCTCGGAGACTGCCCTGAGGGTCGCGTCGCTGGAAGCCGAGGCGCGGCGCTGTGAGGGGAGGCGGCCCCGTCTTCAGGCCGCGCTGATGCGCGCCCTCGCGCTGCCCGATCGACGATCGGGCCTGGCTGCGAGGGTGCGCAAGCGCCTGCAGAAATGGTTTGCCATTCCCCCGGCCTCCCTCGTCCCTCTCGACCTTGATTCGCTTCGCTCCTTCCTCGCTTCCCTCCCCCCTGCATGGCGCTGGGCTCTCTTCAAGACGTGGACTGGGGGGTGGGTCACAGACACTAGGCTAAGGAACCCCCAACACGGGTGTCTCCTCGGCTGTGGTGGAGCCCTCGACTCACTCTCCCACTACATCGTCTGCCCCAGATTTGACGAGCTCCTGGTCCGGGTCTCAGGACGTCCTGTTCCCGCGGACATGCTTGCCCGGCTAGCCCTCGTTGGCCAATGCACGGACGCGGCTCGTCTTCTGGTGATGCGTTTCCACCTTCATCGGCACTTGCATCAGGTCCGGAAGCGCGGGCCTGACGGGGCGGTTTCCGACCGGCAGGGTTTCGAGTGTGCCCGAGCCGCTCGGGCGGCTACAGACCTCCCGCGCGGCCGGCGAGCCGCCCCAGCCGTCGCCCGCGCCCGTCAACGCGCGGCAGCGGCTCGCCCAGGGCGTTAAGGAGCAATCGACCTCATTGTGACGCTGGCCCCCCTCCTCCTCCTCCTCTTCCTCCTTGTGCTCAACCCCTTCCTCGTGGTCGCCGCCGCCGTCGAGGCGTGTCGTCCTCGTCGGCGACAGGAGGAATATGAGGAGTGCAGGAGGAGGAGGAGGAGGAGGAGAAGGAGGAGGAAGAGGAGGCATGCACTCACGCAGTTGCGCAAACAAGGCTGTGCAAGTAAGCAAAGTAGCACTGGCGATGAAGGAGCTCTGCAAGTTCAGGGTTTAGCCCGCCCGAAAGTACATGCCAACGCGAGCAACAAATCACGTGCACTCAATTGCAAGCAAGTTCGCGCAAGGACGTGCAGGTCAGCAAGTGACTGCAAGCAGTAACGCGAGGAAGCAACACAGCAAGCTCAGGCTTAAACTCGATCATGAAAGCCAGCGAGCAGGCGCAAACAAACGCTAGTAAAACAAGCAAGCAAGCGCGCAAGCGCAGGCAAGGGGGGTGAAACGCAAACCAAGTATGGGAGAGTCAGCAAGGACGGTCACGTTCCTGAACCCATGCAAGGCGCAGATGCAAACTAACGCAATACAGCGCAAACGCATTCAAGCAAGCGATCGCAGGTGCGCAAACGTTCTCGACCAAACATGTGCAAGCAAATTCAAGCATGCAGGCATCGGTATCGCAATGGAAGAGCCGCAACACATGACGCAACGGGTTGCAACTATGGAAGCAACCGCTCGCTGGCAAACACTAGCAAATAGGCGGAACCAACCACATAGCTAAAGTCAAGCATGTATTGCAAGGGCATGCAATTAAGAGTAAGCCAGTGCAGCTAAGCCCAATCACGCACACAGCAACGAACCAGGCGCGCTTGCCCAACAACTGCAGCACAGCCGCGCACGCCAGCAAGCTAACTCGCTTGCCAGCAGACCAGCAAGCCAGCACAGCAGCGGTCAGGGGAGCGCGTGCCAGCACAGGAAGGCAAGCGCAGTCACAATTGCAAGGAAACGCACGCAAGCACGTAAACCCACAGTAAAAACAGGCAAGCGCAACACACGATGAAACCATGCGCGCGCGTGCACTCAACCACGCGGGCAACGAGTTGTGCGCAGGGTGAGATGATCAATAAGATGCCGCACACAAGCAACTACAAGCAACCACGACTAGGTGCACGCAGGAACGGAATCTCATGTACACCCAATTCAGCGTGAAAAAGCCAGCGCACGCGCGCGAGCAAGCAAGTGCAAGCAGACGAGCGAGAATGCTCGAGGCAAGCGCGGGCTGGGCCAGCGGGCAGGCAATCGCGAGAACGGGCACCTCGCCCTCTTCCCCTTTGCACCTTGCTTGAAGTCGTCCCTCTGTCCCTTCCCGCCCCTTTCCGCCCCTTCCCGCCCCCTCCCGTCCCTTCCCGCCTTTTCCGCTGGGCTCTGGCCTCCTGCATGCGCGTCGTTCGCCCCTGTCTGCCTACTCCTCGCTTCCAATCTCTCCCCCCCTCCGCCGACGTGCCGCGCGCACTGCGGGGAGCCAGCGGTCCGTCCGCCTCCTCTTTCTCCTCCTCCATCTCCTCGTCTCCCGCTTCTCCCTCGTCAACTCCCTCGCCGTCGTCGCCATCGCCGACCTCGCCGCCGCCGTCGCCGCCGCCACCGTCGTCGCCGTCGCCGCCGTCACCCTCGGCGACGCTGCCGCCGCCCCAACGCCGTACGCCGCGCCGGGGCCGTCGCTGACGCCGCTGCTGACGCAGATGTCGCCGACGTCGTCGACGTCGCCAGTGCCGACGCCGGCGACGCAGACGCCGCGCTGGCGGCAGCTCTTTGGACGGCTGCGCACTCTCAGAGGCCACGCGGCGTGCGCCGGCCGTGTGGGGCGTGCCGGCGTTGCGGGCCTTCTCGAGCGTCAAGTACCAGGCGGCTTCGTCGTCGTCACCGTCGTCGTCGCCGTCGTCGTCGTCGTCGCCGTCGTCGTCGTCGTCGCCGTCGTCGTCGTCGTCGTCGTCGTCGTCGCCGCCGTCGTCGTTTTCGTCGTCGTCACAAGAGTTCTCGGTGGTTCCTGCAGGTTTTCTCGCCTCGGGCCAGGGGCGCTTCTGGCGCCCCCCATGTCTTTCGGGTCCCTCCCGGGGAGCGCCCCTGGGGGTGCCCTTGGGGTCCCCTCTGTGGGGGAGCTCTTGGGCCTTCCTTCAAGCACCCCCAGAGGTCTACACCTTTTCCTCAGGACCAGCTCTTCACGAGCGCGTGTTCACTGAGTTCAAGCAAGTTAACTTGCATGGGATTGTGACCCCCCATCCTCCGCCGCCTTATGAAACAATGCTGGGCCGAAGCGGCGTGCAAGTAAACTTCGACTTGCATAAAGTCCAGAGTTCCTTCAGGGCCTCGCCAGGCCCCTCCCTCTCCTCTAGTTATGCAAGTAAACTTGCCAGAGCCTGAAGAAAAACGGAATCCATCCTGAGCCGTTTTTTGACGGCCTTGGGGCCCAGTGATGACCCCCGCAGGCCGAAGACGGCGAAAAACCTTCGCCTTGAATTCGTCGAGACGTTGGAGGGCTGGGTCTGCCAGGAGAGGACAAATCACACAGACACAGTTTATCGTCGTCGATCCCCAGGAAAAGATGGGAAAATGTGAGAAGGAAGGGAAGACGAAAATCCAGAAAATATGAGAACATATGGGAATCTTGGGATTTGTGTGTATTATGTGAGTGTGTGTCCCTGGGCCCCTTTAGTCTGTCTCTCTTCCAGCCTCTGGGCCCAGGGGCGGTGCGGGGCGAAGGCCGCTGGCGCCGTCGGCACCCGAGGGCCCCTGGCAACACCCCCCCGTGCAGACACTAGGCCTCGCACGAGTGGCTCCGCCTGGACGCCAACGGCGAGGGCACCCTCGGCATCTCCGACTTTGCACAGGGCGCGCTCGGCGAGGCACCGCCTGCGGGCGACTGTCGCCGGCGGCGGCGGCGGTGGCGAGGGCGGCGGCGGCGGTGGCGAAGACGGCGGTGATGACGGCGACAGCGGCTGCGGCGACGGTGGCGGCGAAGGTGGCGACGACGGCTTTGACGAGGGACGAGTAGGAGGAGGAGGGAGGACGAGGAGTAGGCGAGAATCGCGGTGCCGGCGCTGAAGCGGCGGTCGATCCAGCTGCGGACAATCGAGCCAAGCGCTAACCCTGGGAAAGCAATCAGTTCCCCCCTTCATGAGAGGAACTTGCAGCGTTTCCGGCACCATGGCTGGGACGGAAGCCATGTTTCTCGCAGAGGCCCGCGACCCAATATTCTTTGGGCGGGCAGGAGAAGCTGGAGGAGGGTTCCGACGACGGGCTTCCTATGGATCCTAGGAGATTCCCTCGCCAGGCACTCAGAGCTGGGGTTCCTACTCGAGATGGGTGGAGGGAGCGTTGCATCAGCTTCGATTGTTCAGGGGCTCCTTGAAAGTTAGTTTGACGATGCTGCTATATGCCTTTGCTGGAGGAAGTACTTTTCACGGGTGCTACATTATGGAACTCGTATAACCAACATCCGTTAATAGTGACAAGTCTTAATTGACAAGTGTCAATGTTGGAGTTTTATTTGCTTGATCTATTTGCTTGGTACATTCTTCAATCTTATATTCCAGACGCTTCGCGTTCACCGCCCGCCCAGTCCAGCTCTCGCCAGACGAGGCGACTCCATCACGGGGTGCACATGCAGGAAATCATACCAGATCCCCCGCGGGTGCTTTTTGTTGTTTCTGCTTGCGCTCCATTGTTTTTCCCAACCCATAGCCTCTTAGGCTCAGGCATGCCGCGTGGCTGATCGATAGTAGACTTGCCGTTTGGTCGTCGTCCCGTCATCAGTACCGACGCATGAATGATATGGACGTTGGCTTTTTGGGCTCTTGTTTATTATCCACACTAGGAGGCCAGAAGTAGCCCGAACACTGCCCAAGATCAACCATAAACGGCCCGAACCCTGCTTAAATGGAGCCAAGCAGGGACCCATGCGGCTCAGGCGGGCGTTGAACGGCCGAAGGTGTATGTAGGGACAGCACGAAATGTAGGTTCCAGGCAGGGGATCGCGGTTCTGACGATGCATGCAGGCGTCCGGGTTGTTGTTCGTCTTGGACGTCATGTTCTGTTTGGGCGTGAACTCAGGCATGGCGTGCGGCGTCATGCTGCTTCATGCCATAACACTTGACACGCTGCCCGAGATCTAGTGGCCTTCGTGCCTGGGTTGTGGGTTCCGAAGTCTCTTGGATGCTGCTCGGGGTTGTGTGAAATGCCTCGCGAAGGCAGACGGATACTGTATGGTGTTTGCGTTTGTGCAATCGGTATGACTCAAGTCGTATCGAAGTGGTATCGTGAGCGTCATGTGGAGCCCTGCGGGCGTGGATCCCTGGTGCTAGGGAGGTGTGTCGGATGCTTCATGGCTGAAGTGGCATCCCAGTGATACCGCTGGAGGCATATCGATCGAAGGGGGTGGGGTTGGAGGAGGAGGAGGACGAGGAGGAGGAGGACGTGGAGGAGGAGGAGAGAGAGAGGAATGTAATAGGGGTGGCGCAGGGAACGACAGGGACGACGACGACGATGATGGCGACGACGACGACGATGACGACAAAGATGACCTGGACGACGACACAGGTAGATCAGGCGTGAACCATAACAGTCTGTGTCCGCGAGCCTCCTGGATGCCTCTTGGGGGATTCTTGAGTATGCAGGCTTCGAGTGGTACCATTCGGGCACCAGTGAAGTCTCTCGGGGCCTCTTGGGGATCGTGTTTGGGCCTTTTCTGGGCCTGTCGGGGGTGTCCTCTGGTTTCTTGGGGGTCTCTTGGGGTTTCTTGGGGCTCTTGGGGCCTCCTGTCAGGCCTCTTGGGACGGGGAGCTCGAAAAGTTTGTTCGGGCTCCGTCCTGTGGGCCTCATGTGCCGCCTTGGGGCCCTCTTGGGCAGTATTGGGGCCTTTTTGGCGGCCTCTTGGGCCGTCTTGGGGCGATTTTGGAGCCCTTTTGGGCCGTCTTGGAGCCCTCTTGGGCCGTCTTTGGGCCCACTTGGGTCGTCTTGGGGCCCTCTTGGCGGCCTCTTGGGCCGCCACGTCGGTCTTGCAGTAAAAACCAGTTCTGTTCTAGGCCGTTTTGGGTCCGTTTTGGGGTCCAAGTGGGGCCCCGAATCTTCCAAAATGGACCCCGGAGCGCGCCCAAGAACGGCGTGCAAATTTACCAAGATGGAGAATACCGCAGACGATCCCGAAAGGCAGTTGCAAGAAGCGTCAGGGTCACCCCCGGGGAAGCGAAAATCGTGAACAAGACCATCGTATGTGCGATACTTTTTGGCATGCCAGCTCGTCGGCGAGAACGGGCCACAAGGGCGCTCTCGAGGGCCCTGGGAGCGGATTTTGGAGGCCAAGAAAGGGCCCCGACGGGGCCGACATGGAGCTCAAATGCGCCCCGGAGGCGTCCTCCTAACGATTTGAAAATGGAACTCGTCTTGGAAAGCGTTTTGGGGGCGTCTTGGGGACCGAAAATGGACTTGGGCGCAACCGGGCGGCGGAATGGCGGAGGCCTCTGGGGGGGATTAAAGGGGGCCTCAAACACTGTAAGGAGCTCTCGTAGTTAAGTTCCACTCGCCCCTCAGCCCGGCGCGCGCCATTCCGCCGACCCCCAGAACGGTGAATTCGTGAAGAGCCGTGCACCGTGGTCGCTCGCCCCGTCCCTTGGTGCCGAGGGCCCGCGTCGCCGTTCGAGCACGCGGGCCGCCGCCGTGCCCTCGCCCATCACCGCTTCCGCCGCTGGTGCCCCGCTGCTGTCATACCCCCCTAGGAGGAGGAGGAGGAGGACGAGGAGGAGGAGGAGGAGGAGGAAGAGCAAGAGCAGGCACCGTGCGCGAGCGCTCCCAATCCCGCATTCCCCGCCTGGTCGATTCTGCACCCTCCGCTCTCTGCACTTGCCTTCAGTGTGTCGCCCGGGGGCGTGGCCCCCGCCATTGCCGCAGATCCGGGGCGGGAGAGGGCTGGAGGACGGAGACGTGCGTACGACATCGGCGGCATGAGCGACCTCGACGAGGAGGACAACGACGGCGACGCGCGCATGGAGGCGCAGCCCCCGGCAGCCTTTCTTGGCGGCACCCCAGGTGCCGCTGCTGCCGACGGCCCGCCTGCGGCTGGTGCTGCTGGCGCTCCTGATGTGGGCAAGGCAGATGCCAGCGGATCAGCCCCTGCCCCCTCCCTTGGCGAGGCGGCCTCCCGAGGCGGAGCCCCCGGCGCTGCTCCTGCGCCGCCCCCGGCGGCTGCTGGGCGCCCGTCCCGGGTGCGCGTGTGGGTCGCCAGCGTGCAGTCCCCGCGAAAACACGTTGCGGTCTGCCACGTCTGCTGCCAAGGATTTCTCCCAAAATCAGTGCGGTTCGCGAGCCGAGCCAATCCTGACAGCTACTTCCGGCACCCCTCCTGCACAGCTGGCGGGATCCTAGCTGGCAGCGTGGAGGGGCTCGCAGCGCTGCCCGTGGAGGGCCGCGCGGAGGTCCTCGCCTGTGTGGTGCCGTCGCCGGAGACGAACCTACCTGCTTCCGACGACTCTCCGGCCAACGATTCCCAGCCACGCCGCGCTGTAGCAGCAGAGGCGGGCGAGATGCCTGGACTCGCCTGGTGGGCAGGTTTCGATCTGCACGGGGCCTTGCGGGAAGCCGTGCCGACTTGGGCCGCAGTCCCCGCTAGCCTGACCACGGCCGTCGCCGACGTGCTCGCGGCGGCGCTGCGCGCGGTGGCGGCGGAGCCCGCGAACGAGGCCGCCTGGGCCCGGCCGCTCCTGCTCCCGCGGCTGCTGTTCGCCATCCCGCCGGCTGCCAGCAGTGAGGAACGCCCTTCTGTCGCGAAAGCGCTGCCGCGGCGGCTTCGCCAGGCCTGGGCGAGCGACTGGGCGGCGCTGTGGGCAGCGACGGCACGCCCCGGGGAGCCTGCGGCCGACCCCCCGGCTCAACGCAGCACAGAGGCAGTGGTCCGCCGCGCACACGAGCTCATCATGTTGGGCGAGGTGGGCCGGGCTGCCGCGACAGCCGGGGGAACGAGCAAGCTGGCGACGGGGCCCAACGTGGCCCGCGACCTCGCCGCCCTCTTCCCGGAGGCGCCGGCCCCTCCGGCCCCGCCGCCGCCCTTGGCGGCGCCGCTAGCGCCTTGGAAGGCCGACGCCGCCGCCGCCGCGGCGGGCGCACTCGGGAAGTTCCCGCGCCACTCCAGCCCTGGCTTGTCTGGCGCTCGCTTCGAGCACTGGGCCGCCCTGCGGGGCCACGAGGAGGGGAAACAAGCGCCGGCGCATGTGCTGGTCCTCATCCTCGAAGGCCGGGCCCCGGAGCGGGCCGCGCAGGCCGTCCTTGCTGGGCGTATGCGCCCGCTGCTCAAGCCGACGGGCGGCGCGCGGCCCCTGGCGTGCGGCGACGGATGGCGGCGAAGGCGGCCACCACTGCACACAAGGGGCCCATTGCTGCAGCAGTGGGGCCGCGCCAATACGGGGTTGGTCGCAAGAACGGCATCGAACTGATGCACCGAGTGGTGGCGGCCGCGGTGGAGAAGGAGCCTGAGGCCGCAGTCCTCTCCTTGGACGTGGCCAACGCTTTCAACGAGCTGGACCGGAGCACGCTCCTCGAGGAAGTGGCCGCGCACTTGCCGCAGCTCTCGCGAGTGGCCTCCGCGTGGTGTGGCGGCGCCACCGTGCGCGGGGCCCGCCTGTCCGGCACCGGCGTGGCGGAAGTCCGTGCCGAGCGCGGGGTGGACCAAGGGTGCCCTCTGTCGCCCGCGTTTTTCGTGGTGGCAGCGGCTCCTCTTTACGCGGCGCTCGAGGCGGCGGCGCGCCGCGAGGGCCCCGCGGCCCGGGTGGTCGCGTAGCTCGACGACGTGTGCGTGCGTCGTGGGCAACCCGCGCGCGCTGGCCGCTGCTTGGGTCGCGGCCCCGGCTCTCTACGC